CCTGCCCGCCCCCCCCCCCCCCCCCCCCCGTGCAGTTGGCCACACTCCCTCATCTCTGGCGGACTCAGACCTTGACAATTGAGCACATGGGCTGGAGATATTGCTCAGAGCAGCCTCTGCCCTTCGTCCTGGCATTTCCTGGATGGAAGCAGAGGCCTGAGTCAAACAAACAGTAATGTTCACAGCCTGAACCCAAAACATTTGGGAACTGCCCTAAGGTGCGATTTGAGTTGGTTGCTGGGCATGACCAGGGATCCAAGAGAGAGGTGCCTCATGTGTTCCTCACAACCAGACTGGCCAGTCCTGCGAGGATGGCGCGACTCCCCAGAAGTACCCCTGTTCTGAGCTGGGATTTTGTTCCCACTCGATGGGCCAGTTTTGAACTCCGGATCCGGATCTCAATCCACTTGCCGGGTGTAGATGGGTCCAGGGCTGCACTTGTGGTAGGGCTCCTCTCCGTGAACAGCTGATGATTTTTAGCCCCAGACTGTTTTATCACTGGAGCGTGAAGATGACTTGTGATCCCGTCCAGACGTGCTTATTTCTTTTACCTAACTGGTGAATGAAACGTCAATAGCTTTTTCTGTTCAAGTGGGCCTGTCAAAGAAAAGCTGCAGCTGATCTGTCTGTGTCATGACTGACAAAGTGCTGGGGTCTGTGTGCAGAAAAGAAATCCCAGTAAAAATCTATAAACCGCTGGACAGAGACCTAATCCTCTTTCCGGCAAAACTGCCGAGTCAGTCAGTTGGCTCTTGGCATGAATCAAGACGCAGGGCCGGCCTGTTGAATTCCCCCTGGTGCGCCCTTCTGTTCTCTTGAACAGTTGCATTTCTTCCTGTCCTCCTCAGACCTAGGCCCATATGGGACAACTTCAGCAGCAGTTTGCATCTGAACCATCCACTGCCTCATTGGAGAAGTATCCTGCTTCTTCTAAACAGACGCACTCCAAACCACCATTTGTGCTAGGCCAGATAGTTGGGCCACATGCTCACAAACAGGTGGGCAGGGGATTCTGAATGAAGGAGGGTTTGTTTCTCTTTCCCCTCCAGGTTTCTCTCATGGTTTCCTGGGGTGAATTCAGTGAATACTTGAGCAGCACAAGTTCCTTCAGATCACCTTGGTAACCTAACTGACGTCAACACTCAACAGGCACCCATGTTGTGTATTCCCTCATGGGAATTTACAGTTCCAAGCTTGTTCACTGTGGAAGGGTTTCCGCAATCATTAGCAATGCCGTGGGGGAGGGGGAAACGCATTATTGTGTGGTTCCTATTGTTCCAGTATGTTCATAGATTCCTAGTGTGAAATCTGGGCCTCTGACCATCTGGTCTGACCCTCCTGCAAAATGCAGGTCAGAAAGTTTCACCCAGCAATTCTTGTTTCAGGCTGTAGCACAGCTGCAAGTTATCACCCAGCAAGACCTCACTCAGTTTACATGGCTAAACAGACAGTTTTATTGGCCAATAAAAGCAAAGTGAGCCAAATGTGGTCCCAGCAGAGCCGGGCCCAGTGAGGCTAGCTAATACATTCAATCCTAGTATTTTATACCCTTAACCAAACAAGTCTGACGTCAGGGCAAGAAATCAAAGAGAACTTCAAAGAGGAATTATCATCAGCAGAGAAAGAAACAGGTTTAGAGGGAGTTCGAGCTTCAGCTCAAAATAGTTCATTAACACATTCCAATAGCACATCCTTCTGGCTTCTCCCCACCTCGGTGAAGGCCAGTTCACTCCCTCTAGTATACGTGCAGACACAAGAAACTGAAATGGCTTTTGTTATACAGAATGGCTTCTAGCTAAATATGAAATGGTTTCTACAATCCCGTCTTGATTTAAACGTAGCCAGTCCATTTTTGTTTTCTTCTTCCTTACCCAGGGTTTAACCCGAAGTGGGACGAAGAGTTTGGATTTGACATTGACGTCCCTGCGCTCGCTCTGGTCCGTTTTGTGGTGGAAGACTATGATGCGTCAACCAAAAATGACTTTATGGGACAGTACACCATCCCGTTTACCTGCCTAAAGCAAGGTAAGGAGCTTTGTCTGCAGCAGGCCATGGTCAGAGCAAACCACACCGGCTCACAAGTGGTGCCCTGGACCAGCTAACAGCCTGGATTTTTCCGTCGCTACCAGCTGTCACCCCGGGACCACTTATTCTGTGACTGACTTACTGAGTCGTCGTTTGTTAGGATAGAGGTAGCCTGGCTTCCAGAGATGCCCCTTAAAGAGACCAGAGTAATACACTGTAACAAAGATGCTGGGCAAACACACACTGTGGATTCACTTGCATGCGTGCAGCTGGAAACAGGATGTGGTTTGAGCATATTCTGAAACAGAGCCGCTGCACTGCAGCATGCTGTCAGCTTGCCTGGGAAAGGCCAGATGTAACAGCAAGCAGAGATATTTTTTCAGAAGGCAGCTCACTTCAATCAGGGTTGGAACGGAGCATGCCTCAAGGGCACTCAGACACTAGTGTTGCAGGAACAATGCAGCATCAAGAAACTGAATGCTAGTGGTCATGAGCATTGTTCCCGCTAATCTTTTCCATCCGTGTGCAGAATAAACTTTGTGATGTGCACCAAAGCATGTGCACCACCAGCAGAAACAAAACCTAGCTGTGGGCGCTCTGCTAATCAACTGGGTGTCACTGAAATCTTTTCTGAGCGGCCCCACAAGTGCCCAGCTTGTCGGGAACACTGGTCGTGAGTGATCTGTTGTAAGCATGATGGGATCACACCCAGTTTCCTGGTCAAATTGAACTCTGCCCATTGTATTCCTACCAACTTGTTAACCACTGCAATTAGGGTTGGATAAATAGGGACATTTGGGAAAATCAGCTTTTATTGTTCATGGAGTAGGATCTATAGGGAATCAGTGATGGGCAGGGAGGCAGAAGTAGGATTCCTGGTTCTTATTTGTGGCCCTCCTACTGCCTTGTGTGACACTGGGCAAGTTGGTTAAACCTGAGGGCTACGTCTAGACTGGCGTGATTTTCCAGAAATGCTTTTAACGGAAAAGTTTTCCGTAAAAAGCATTTTCGGAACAGAGCGTCTAGATTGGCACAGATGCTTTTCCGCAAAAGCACTTTTTGCGGAAACGCGTCCGTGCCAATCTAGATGCGCTTTTCCGCAAAAAAGCCCCGATTACCATTTTTTTGCGGAAAACAAATCTGAGCTGTCTACACTGGCCCTTTTGCGCAAAAGTTTTGCGCAAAAGGACTTTTGCCTGAACGGGAGCAGCATAGTATTTCTGCAAGAACACTGACACTCTTACATGAGATCGTCAGTGCTTTTGCGGAAATTCAAGCGGCCAGTGTAGACAGCTGGCAAGTTTTTCCGGAAAAGTGGTTGATTTTCCGGAACAACTGGCCAGTCTAGACACAGCCAATGTGTTCACTGAATATCTAATGTTTGACAAGAGCTTTGAGATCTTCAGATGGAAGGGGCTGCAGAAGGGATGTAAAGTATAATTGTGGGACCATATCACTGTATTCTACCCTAATACAGAGCATTATTGTACTTCTTCTGTAGGGCCCAAATTAAAGGTCAAGGAAGGAGAATATTCAGGCATAGGAAATGGAAGTGACTTGGCACAGCCATTGCAGTAGAAATGCCCCTATCTCCGAGTATTAAAAAATAAACTGCGCTCCCACGTTTTTACATCCTCTCCCATGGTGTTGTGTGTGAAACTTCACCACATACTGTGGTGCTTGAAACTAAACATCCATGTCTGTGTATTTCCTCCTTCCAGGCTATCGCCACATTCATCTTTTGACCAAGAATGGGGACCCCTACCCATCAGCCATGCTTTTTGTGCACATCAATATTCTGGACGCTAATTAGAGCAGAAGAATCCATCTTTCAAGAATCAATGGACACTGCTACATGCTAAAAATGAATCTGGAGACCAAAATCTGCCCTCAGCCATATTCTATGCAATTCCCAATGCCTTCTTAGGGCTTGAAAGTGGTATGTCAGTGCATTCCCACGCTGTTAAAAATACCCTTTATTGTGTTTGCACCCTCTGTTGAGTATGCTGAAAATATTCTGACATTGCTGTTGAAATTTTTGTTAGAATATTCAATACAATTTGATTTTTAATGAATTGTAATTCTTACTATTTTTACTCTAGTTTTTATAGAGCAGTTTAGGGTTTTTTAATGGATTTTGGATTTCGTTAAGGGTTTTCTGTTTGGTCACTGTGGGGCAGAGGTGACCCTGGCGTCTTTGTCATTGTAAAGATGCACATCCAAACTTTGTATAAGCAAATAAGCCCTCATCCAAAGGCCAGTGTTCAGATACTGCTGGCTTCAGATGATGCCCATACTCCACTCTTTTAAATCCTAATTTGACACACAGCGCTGTCCTCTTTACTACAGTAGAAAAAGCTACACTACAAAGATCACTTTTATTTTGTAAATAATGAAAAATACATTAACACTACTCCACTGATCTACATAGTTCTTGAAGTCAATTTGCATTCAGCATGAACAATGCTGAGTCTCATTCTTCAAAGGAAAGAAGACGTTTCAAGTGGGAGATTCTTTTTTAACCCAGGTTGAAACCCATTTACGACCAAAGAGAATTAATTTCCCAGAAGACAGTGTAAGTGTATTACATGTATGGAAGCTTGTTGTTTTTTAATACACAATGTAAGACGTTTTCAGTTTTTATGGAAAAACGTTTTTTTCTAATAAGGAGACTCTGAGGAAAATCCAGTAGAAAGAATAATTGTAAACGTTTATCTGTTTATAATGTCACTGGATAGAACCGAATATCAAAGCACAGTAAAAATAGGTAACAGGCTCACTAAAAATGAACAAAGTATTTATGTTGTAAGGTGTGTGAGTTGTTTTGTTAGAGGAGTAATGTTAGAGAGAAAATAATATATTTTCAGAAATTGTCCTCACTTGTGTTACTGATCATACTTCAGACTATTAAAAAGTCAGAATTCTGAAAAATATCTGATTTATCTTTTATCCTCATTTTTGTTACTTTTTGTAATGCACTCCCAGAAGAATGTGTAAGTCTTGTCTGTTTCATTCCCCATATTTAGTCAGTTTCACTTCTTTCTCATGCATGACAGAGGCACAAAGCAATAGGATGAAGGAAAGATGTCAGTGCCTGTTCCATTCACTCCTCCCACGTTCCCTTGCCCCAAATAGCCCAGATTAATGACCTTGCACCAACACAATAGAACCCCTCTAATCACTAGCTGGCAGATGCATTTTGCTGCAGTATTTGCTATCCAATATGCCAACCTTTCTTCTGTACACTGCTGCTGGCTGGTGTTCTTTACCATTAACCATTTAATCGTTGCTTGGGGACTTAGAATTTGTGTACAATCATTAGAAATGCCCAGTTAAACCCTTTAAATTAGTTACTAGCAGCTAAAGGAGCACACGTGCTAGCAACAGCAGTACAGGCAGGTTGGATATATTTTAGCATACCCTTATTTGCTACAAATGTAGTATATTGCTACAAGCGCTAACTGCTTTAGTCACTCGGATCACATGTATTCGCACACTGAGAGCACACTGCATTTTCCCTAGTGGGTTACTAAACTGTCCTTGGGAAGAGATGCACTATTCATTTTTATAGTCTGGCTGCAGTCAAGAGGACACACCTTAGCTGCACATAAATCTCTCCACAGTATAATCTTATCTTTTAGCTTTGTTTCTGAAACTGATAGAGCAGGGTGCCCATGCCGGTGTCCTGTAGCACATGGATTTGTTATTGACTGGCAGCCAACCATTGGGTTTTACCTCAGAGAGCGCCGGGCACACTATTCATTTTTATAGTCTGGCTGCAGTCAAGAGGACACACCTTAGCTGCACATAAATCTCTCCACAGTATAATCTTATCTTTTAGCTTTGTTTCTGAAACTGATAGAGCAGGGTGCCCATGCCGGTGTCCTGTAGCACATGGATTTGTTATTGACTGGCAGCCAACCATTGGGTTTTACCTCAGAGAGCGCCGGGCAGGTCCTGGCAAGGGAGAGGGGAGGGGAGGATAAAGCGTAGCTCACTAATAGCTGGTCTGCAGCATCCCTGCTTTCTCTTCACTCAGCACCGGCCCAGCCTGCTGCTGCTACTCTCTGTTTAGCTGGCCAGAGGATGCCCAAGCTGGCCTGTCATGCCCAGGTTGGGGCTGTGCATTTGGCATGGGTTCCCCTCTCTCCTGAGACCAACAGTTTGCCAAGCCAAATCTGAGTGAGCGGCTTTGCAACCTGCTACAGCCCCCCTCGAATTTGGCCCCGTTGCCTATCTGTCATGTCAAAATGGAAACAAAGCAGCTACCTTGAAGTACAGATTGGAACCAAGGGCTGGGAGGGGCAATTGCTTCCCTGTGCCACAGCAAATGAGGCAGCAGCTCCTGTTGGGGGATGGGGAAGGGGGGGCGAGTAATGTACTGGTGCTGGGTGTGGTTGTGATGGGTTGTGGTCGTGCCTCATGGGAAACCTTGTGCCCTCTCTGTGCCTCAGTCTCTCATCTGTAAAAAGAAGGATCATGAGGCTTTCCCTTTGGTGTACAGTGCCATGAGCTGACAATGCTTTGTCGGTGCAAGGGGAGGGTGGTAGGCCCCTATTCCTGTGCTCCGTGAGTTTCTTTGTGTTTTGTATCCTCCAGCCTTCCGCAGTTTCCCATATGAGTTCTTTCAGAACTCTTGGGTGCATGCCATCTGTCCCGGTGACTTGTTCCTGCTAAGTTTATCAATTTGTTCCAAAACCTCCTCTAAGGACGTCTCAATCTGGGACAATTCCTCAGATTCGTTACCTAAGAAGAATGGCTCAGGTTTGGGAATCGCCCTAGTACCCTCAGCTGTGAAGCCTGACGCATGCAATGAGTTTCTCCGCAATGACCGTATTGTCTTTGAGCGCTCTTTTAGCATCTCAGCGTGGTTCCACTGGTTATTTAACAGGTTTCCTGATTCTGATGTACACCTATTCTTACCATATGCACCCACTCTAGCCCCCTTTGGGCTTTTGACAACAGTCCTGGCTTTATCAACAGGACTGGAAATTTCCACACATGCTAATAGGCTAGATCTTGCCTTACTCTATTCTATCTTGGGGTATGTCTACACTACAGCGCTAGTTCGAACTAACTTAGTTCGAATTAGTTAATTCAAACTAAGCTAATTCGAACTAACGCGTCTAGAACTAAAAACTAGTTCGAATTAGCGTTTTGCTAATTCGAACTAGCAAGTCCACATTGAGTGGACCCTGAACAGGGCTTAAGGATGGCCGGAAGCAGTGCCGGCAGGGCATCAGAGGAGGACTTAGAGCGTGGAGATGCTGTCTCAGGCTAGCCGAGGGCTGTGCTTTAAGGGTCCCGACCCCCACCCCGGACAGACAGTTCTCAGGGGTGCCCCGCTTGAAAACCAGTCCTGGCTTGGATTGCCCGGAGTACCCACACTGGGCACATCACACCACTCGGCCATCAGCCCGGCTGCACTTGCCGCAGGCTGCCATCTGGGGAGAGGGGGCAATCGGGGGGCTGCAGGAGAGCTTCCACCCCCAGAAGCCCGCAGAGCCAGCCCAGTCCTCCCCATCGGGGGCTCGTACCCCATTCCTCCCTCACCTCCTTCCACTTACCCTTCCCTAGCCCCCCTTCTTATTGATGTACAAAATAAAGATAACGTTTCTTCCAACATTGACTCTGTCTTTATTGAACAAAACTGGGGGAGACTGGGAAAAGGAGGTGGGAGAAGGGAAGAGAAAGGCTGGGAGAGGGGAGGGCAACTAACATGATCAGGGGTTGGGAACAGGCCCCAGATGAAGAGAGGCTACAGAGACTGGGACTGTTCAGCTTAGAAAAGAGGAGACGGAGAGGGGACAGGATAGAGGTCTCTAAAAGCAGGGGTTGGGTGGAGAGGGTGCATTCAGAAAAGTTCTTCCTGAGTTCCCATAAAGAAGGACTAGAGGACACCAAAGGAAAGGAATGGGTAGCAGGCTTGAAACTAGTAAGAGAAAGTTGTTGTTCTTGACAAAGCAAATAGTTAACCTGCGGAACTCCTTGCTGCAGGAGGCTGTGAAGGCTACAACTAGAACAGAGTTGAAAGGGAAGTGAGATCAAGTCATGGAGGTTGGGTCCATGGAGTAGTCTTAGCCAGGGGGTAGGAGTGGTGTCCCTGCCCAAAGTTTGTGGAAGGCTGGAGAGGGATGGCACGAGACAAATGGATTGGTCACTGTCTTCAGTCCATCCCCTCCGGGGTCCCTAGGGTTGGCCTCTGTCGGCAGACAGGCTACTGGGCTAGATGGACCTTTGGTCTGACCCAGGACGGCCATTGTAAGCTCAGGGCTCAGTGTCGGGGGTCTCAGTGGACCCCCTTGATTTTCATGCACACCTGGTCCTGGGTGGCCAGGCTGGCAGCTCTCCTGCCCTAGACGGCCACTTTCCTGTGCCTAGTGCGGAGATCGTGGACGAGGTCCACGATGTCCGCACTAGCCCAGGAAGGTGCCCCCCTCTTGCGGTCCAGGGCAAGCTCCTGGGAGCTGCCAGCCTGGT